CACACACACACACACACACACACACACACACACACACACACACAAACAGTGCATGAATATTTCCAGTTTTTCCAGGATGTCTGTACAGCACACAGAACAATGGGAAAGTTCACCGAAGTCAATAAAGAGCAGAGGAAACCTGCAGGTTAACTGTGAACTGAGGATCTGTAATTCAGATGTGTCACCTTTTTTTGGCCTGGATGAGCAGCCAAAGTGTCCTCCTCACTATGAGCCAAAGTGTCCTCCTCACTATGAGCCAAGACACCAATCAAATTAAATGAAGTCACGTATTATATTTATATAAAAAATGAAATTACTTTTGAGTAAATATCTCAGCAGCTGTGAGTTAGCCATCATTCACACAACACTGATTGCTTTATCAGGGCTGTAGCAGATTAGCACTCTGTGGTAACGCTGCGCTCTCCAACCTGAATCCTGCACTGGATCTAACTGGTTTTTGAGAGTTTGGAGGGCGGAGCCTAAAGGGAGCAGGCTCCTAATGTGATTGGTCACTTTGATGGACAGTTCAGATTACTGCAGTAAACCAAGTTACACCCTTGTAACAGTGCTGTCAATGATTCAGTTACAGTCAGCTGACTTACCAACATCTCACCGGCACTCTGAGGGATTAAGCCATTGGATACAGGCTAAACACTGAGACACATTTCTATATAAAGAGTAGAAATGTGATATACAAGAACCAGTCCATTTACAGTCTGGCAAATGTGCCATTACTGCAGAGTCTGCACCAATCCATGGCACGCTCCATCTTCCTACAAAGACTCCAGAACCACAGGATACTTGAAGCTCCTTACTTTGGGCAGCACTGAACAGTTTGACACGTATGGCCTAGAATTAGAGACAAGCACAGGTGGAATCCAACACCATCCCAAGGATGTGGACACAGCTGTCACCATTTAAGGACCTGATGGCACTTAACAATAGACGCAGAGTTCAGCTGTGCACCCTACATGTGCCCACAATTCCATATTCAAACCTTAAAAGGAGCATCTTAGGTGAACTTTCAAAGGTCATGTCACCATGTTGGATGGTGAGTGGTTGAAAGAAGCTGCAGCAGACGACAGCACCAATCAGCTTCATCTGTTAGACGAGGTTCCTTCTGCGTCAAAGACATTTTCTAATTATTCAGCACAAACAAGTTTGGAGCCTTCGGTGCTTTCAAACTCTGTTTCCATCCTTGGGTTGTGAACAGTGTGTCATTGTGTGACCTAGCCCTCTTCTACAAGGCCAGGAAAACAACTATTCATGAAGTTAGATGGGTGTCTTCATTCTCAACATCTAAATGTGATCATAGATGATCCGTGTTAGCTTGTTGCTGCTGTAATATTGCCAAACGGAATAAACGCTGTGTCAAACATGTAATGGACAATCTTGGTAGATTTAAAATGTTCTGGCAATCCCGCCCTGCTGGCAGCACCGTCCCTCCACAGAAGTCTACCAGATAAGAGTTACCTTCTACTATTGCTCCCTAACACGAGTTCAGATTAAACAAAGGCATCTTATTTGCCTTTTTTCCCCACATTGTTATGATATCATAGTTTTGCAGTGTGGTAGGTCAGTTGCAGTGTTGATCCTGGATCTACACTAGTATAATGCAGGAACTACATCAACGTGGGTGCCTCAGATACACCGTTAACTGAACGTGCATGTGTCTGGTTTATTAACTTTTAGAGTTAGGGTTTGGTTCAGTTTTCATACAGGGTTTAGGTAGCACTTCTTTGGAACAGCTCGTTTTGTTGGTTATTCTGGCCATGGTTTACCCCGGAGTTTAAGCTGGTGGAGCAATAAAGTTCACCTTAACTTTGAATTGGCTACTGGGTTTGTGGCTTTGGGGGCCGGGGCGGGGACACCCGTGTTTGAGCTTTATGTTGCGCTACGGACCTAACAAAGGACACCTTTACCATGTTATTAAAAAACTATGATTTATTAGAATGATCATTAATACAATTTAATCAAAGTGATAGAAAACGTGATGTAACTTGATTCTGTTGCAGTTTTCAACAAAGGCTCAGTCCCCAAAATTATGTGGGCTAGCTCCTTTACTCAACAAGTTATGAGGTCTCAAAATGCCAGAAAAAGAAGAGAGTAACTTTATCCTAACCCTGTAACTTACAGTAACTATAGTACTTCATATTTAAAATGTAGCACATTTAATGAAGCAAAGCTACTGTACTTCAGGTGGGAGGCACTCACTGAACCTATTTCACATGGAGAGATGAGCCAATAGGACATGAAGCTGTTCTTAGTCTTGAACACAAGAACGCTGAGTATCTTACCTGAGAGGTAGCGAGCAGGTGTACCGCACTTGGACTTGGAGTCTGACTTGGTTCACATTTGAGGCCTAGAGAGGTGAGGATTTCTGTCAAGACTTCATACCGCGAGGCATTGTTGACCTTCAGTTCATCAAAAGCATCCAATGGCAAATTCTGAGAGTTGGGAGCAGTTTCAAAGTGGACCTGCAGATATACATGTTTAAGTAAAAACATCAGAAGATGCAGGAAACATTGATGTGGCAGCAAAAATGAGTATTATTTATTTTATACTGCAAATATTTGCACCTAATAAATCTGCTTGTAATCTAGACATCATATGACACCGGGCTTCATTTACTAGCCCAACAGTTAGCAGTACCACATACCCACTGTCAGCACCCGGATTCATTCAGAATGCATAAATAATGATAATAATAATTATGATAATATTTCTAGACCCGACTGCAAAACGAGGACAGAACAGTTCCTGGATTATAGAAGTTTCAGGCTGCTGTGGCAGTTAATTTACTGCTAGCTACACCATTAATAAAGGAATCGTGTGCTATAGGGAGACTGCTAGATCAGCTGATCTTCTCTTAGATCTGCTGCTATAGGCTCAGACTGCTGGAAACATCCCATGATGCAATTATCCTTCACCTGAAGGCATTTTTGCCTCTATTGGACAGTGCAGCACTGAAGATGGAAAATCAGGAGAAAGAGCAAACATCAGAGTTGAATCCAGGCTGCTGCACTCCTGGTGGGGAGTACCCACTGAGCCACCCACACTCATGTCAGTCACTGAGACCTCACACATCTGAACCTCTTTCTTCCCGTTAAGAGATTTTCCAACTGCTGCCAAGTCCTTGGACGTGGGATCGCCTGAATGTTGGGCTTTTCTCTCTAACATCACATGGGCTTTATGTGTGAGGCAACTGTTGCTTTGATCTGACACTACAGAAATACAACAGCATGCAGGTTCACTGTCCCACATGTGTTAGCACTACTGCGGGCCTCAATAAAAGCATGCTATTCATTGTCCCCGAGGACAATGAATAGCATGCTTTACATGGGTTTACCTGACAAAGGACAGCTTCTCCACTGTCCCCTCCGTGGGTCAGTCGTACAATAACCATATCCTTCTTATGGGGGACATCCCCTTTCAGCTCCCCCCACAGTTCAACTTCTCCTCCCCCCCGAGGATCCCTGATGTAGACTTTCCCACTCGCCAGTATACTCAGATTCAGCTCTGTGCTGTCTTCTTTGGTGAAATTCAGCTTGTTGACCTGCATGCACTGGCTCTGCCTGACTTCCAGGTAGAGTCCTGCAGGGCACAGAGAAGAGGCTAGCCCGAGGACTTTGCCCCCCTGGCTCAGGTAGGTGAGAAAGCGGGTCTGAAGCTGGGGACTTAGGGTTTCCTCTTCTGCCAGTACCAGGAGTCTTGTGTTTTCCAGCCAGGGATCATTCAGTGCCTGCTCTGGCTGGAGCGGATAGATGATGTTACTTTCCGTGTTTATACATTCTGATAAAAGCTGGCGAACTGTCTGAAAACGTTCCTGACAGCCCCCCGTGTAGACGAGAACATTTGGGAGTTTGCCACCGCTTTGACCAAAAAACCCTCGGGAATCATTTTCAAGTTCATCGAGACACTCGTTTCCAACAGAGTTATCATCCGGTAGGTCTGGAATATTCTCAGCGGAGGCATATTTGACAGAGAGTATAGTACTGTTCTCCAGTTCCAGACATTCATGGCAGCTGGACAGATGCAGGTGGTGTCCGTGGCCCTCCATGTGGTGATGATTCCCCAGGGAGTGTTCCTCCAAGTCACCGAGAGATTCCAAATCCTGGGAGCTGCGGAGCGGCTCTGACCCTCGCCGGTCCTCTAACCTCCTCTTTACCTCTGGGATGAGAAGGAAGCTGCCTTTACGGCACTGCAGATGATGGTGGCGAGCTATGGGCTCTCCAGTGCTACAGGGAAGCAGTGACGACTGTGCCCGTGGGCTCTGTGGACACTGCTGGTCCAGCAGTGCACTCAGAGTGGATTCTTGCAGGAGGACAGCTGTGGAAATACAACCACACCACAAAAACATCAGAACCATCTACTGATCTATCTTTGTATTCAAACTTCAAACAACTGTTTCTGTCAACCACTAAACTACTGAACAGTAAAACAGTAACAATGTAAGCTCTTTGGTACAGTTCTGGTATCCAGCAGCTTCGGAGAACAAACAGCTCAGAGCCGCTGAAACCTTTCATTCAGCTGTGCTACACCACAGAGGTATAAAGCAGGGGTGGGGAAGTCCAGGCCTCGAGGGCCAGTGTCCTGCAGGTTTTAGATGTGTCCTTGATCCAACACAGCTGATTTAAATGGCTTCAAGTTCTCCAGAGGCTGGTAATGAACTAATCATGTGGTTCAGGTGTGATGACCCAGGGTGAGATCTAAAACCTGCAGGACACCGGCCCTCGAGGCCTGCAGTTGGACATCCCTGGTATAAAAGCTTAACCCTATACACAAATACAGCAGGGAAAAGAAGCACTGAATAAATAAATGAATAAATAAATACACACACACACACACACACACACACACAAGCATTAATAACAATGTGCAATACACATACGCTTATTCTTCTTATTTTTATTACATAAGTTTCTGTGTTGTGTCGTTTTGTGTTGTTCGTAGTGCCGACGTGGGACAATTTTCCGATTTCATTTCACTATCGTACTATGGATGACTGTGCAAAGACAAAGAATTATCTTATCTTTCTATGTAACAATCACACACATTCATTCTTCGATAGAAGCATCAGAGAGCAACCTGGCAACTTTCCGAAGGATATTTGGCATGCAGGCATGTTTGACAACCAGGGATCGAACCAGCAACCTTCCAATTAGTATATGACCTGCTCTACCTCTGAAGCTACAGCTCATATCATGATGGGGTAAGAAGCTCGGTGGCTGTAGAGTTCCACATGTCGGGCAGGTACAGGTCACAACTTCCTCACAGACGACAGAAAATATGTTTGTGACATTATTTAAACCTGAGCTCCTGAAAACAGTCAAAAAATGTCTGTAACTCTTCAATGGGTCATGAGACAGTTTAAGTTTAAACTGTGCACTAAAGTGTGCAGCTCTATACCTGTAAGCTCAACGTTGTATATGAGGTTTTGTGAGTGAAAGCACTTTCCTGCTGCTGCTGGATGCAAGGCTGAGTTTAAAAAGCTACTTCAGACACTACAGGGTGAGAACATGCTTCTACCTTTTTATCTTGGAAACGTAAACTAACAATAAGAAAGTTTATTCTCCTTCTGAACGTCATCACTGCTGTACTACATGAACACAACCTCGGGGAAGTATATTAGGGCGTTTGGTAGAGGGGTGGAGCAAAACCCGACCAACAGAATTTCAGTACGATCCTCATCGCTTTCTCTACGGTGACAAGATGAAGGTGTTGGCACAGGAAATTGCTGTTTTCTTTGGGCTTTATTAATCACGCTGATCAACATAATACTCGATGCAAACGAGACATGAGTAAGGAACTGTGAGGTGTGATACCATGTAACAAAAACATCGTAGAAAATCTACTTGAAGACAACATACGGACTATCTTTGAGGGCGTAAGTCCATTGTCCAGCTGGAGGCGATCTTCTATGAAAGCTATCCCGAGCTGGCTGTAGCTCTCCACGCTGGCTTGAGCGACTGCCCTGAACGGCTGGCCAGGGCAACACGCCACAGGGAGACAGCAGTCGGACAACTTCAGCACCTGCACAACACACAGTGACACGTGTTAGAGTTCAGCATGCCCCGCCTACTCCATCATCACCTGGTGTAAGGAGGGATTAGTACAGAAACTATAAGCCTGTAATGATGGTCACGTGTCTATTTTCACCTCACTTCATAAAAGCTAACCTAATAACAACCACAGCATCATCCGAACAGCATCAATGGCTCCATCAGCACAAACCAGAAGAACATGTACCTTATCCCATATTTGTTAAATGCATATTTTTCTGTGTGCTACATTTAACATTGCTAAAATACTAAATATGAAAACCATCATAACCACCAAAACCATTATTATCCACATTCTGCCTTTTGTGCCGGTTCATTCAGTGTAGTGTTTTAAAGAGGCACAAAGGCTCCAACAAGGAAACAACGGCCTCATTTACACTGATGTCACGTCAGCACCTGCCAGCTGCATGCTAGCTACAGACGCTTGTGTTACAAACACACTTAAGTACAAAGACCTGGTGAAGTACTCTGATTTGTGACGGCAACATTACAACAATGGGATTGTCCCATTAGCATGGTGGGTAGCTAATGTGGCTAACGTTACGTATGGCCGATGCTCCCTTCTCTTCATAGTTCTGTATTAAAGCACAGCCAACTGTACATTCAGCCGTTTTTCTTTCTGTTGGAACAAGCATCAGCTCATTAGGACAAAAGTGACAACCAGCCAAAGCCATTTAAAAGAAAATTATTATCACTTTAGAACCACATCACTGACAAAAATCAGCATTCACATAAGCTTAAGCCCTCAGCTACGATTAAGGGAACTTTCTGAATGTGACAAAGTGAAGTACAGTGGCTGCAAAAGTATTGGGCCCCTTGAACTTTCCCACATTTTGTCACATTACAGCCACAAACATGAATCAGTTTTATTGGAATTCCACATGAAAGACCAACACAAAGTGGTGCACACGTGAGAAGTGGAACGAAAATCATACATGATTCCAAACATTCTTTACAAATAAATAACTGCAAAGTGGGGTGTGTGTAATTATTCAGCCCCTGAGTCAATACTTTGTAGAACCAGCTTTTGCTGCAGTTCCAGCTGCCAGTCTTTTAGGGTCTGTCTCTACCAGCTTTGCACATCTACAGACTGAATCTTTGCTCATTCTTCTTTGAAACAGCTCCAGCTCAGTCAGATTAGATGGGCAGCGTTAGTGAACAGCAGTTTTCAGATCTTGCCACAGATTCTGGATTGGATTTAGATCTGGACTTTGACTGGGCCAGTCTAACACATGGATATGTTTTGTTTTAAACCATCCCATTGTTGCCCTGGCTTTATGTTCAGGGTCGTTGTCCTGCTGGAAGGTGAAGCTCCGCCCCAGTCTCAAGTCTTTTGCAGACTCCAACAGGTTTTCTTCCAAGATTGCCCTGTATTTGGCTCCATCCATCTTCCCATCAACTCTGACCAGCTTCCCTGTCCCTGCTGAAGAGAAGCCCCCCCCAGAGCATGATGCTGCCACCACCATATCTGACAGTGGGGATGGTGTGTTCAGAGTGATGTGCAGTGTTAGTTTTCCTCCACACATAGCATGATAACAACGAGACGGCCTACCTGAAGGAGATTAGGAATCTGGAGAACTGGTGCCAGAGGAACAACCTCCTTCTAAACGTCAGTAAGACAAAGGAGCTGATAGTGGACTTCAGCACTAAGCAGGAGAGGAACTACCAGACCCCTGTCATCAACGAGTGCCCAGTGGAGAGAGTGGACAGCTTCAAATACCTCGGAGTTCACATCACGCAGGACCTGTCATGGTCCTGTCACATCAACACCGTGGTGAAAAAGGCCCGTCAGCGTCTCTACCACCTCAGACGCTTGAGAGACTTCCAACTGCCCTCCAAGGTGCTCAGGAACTTTTACTCGTGCACCATAGAGAGCATCCTGACGGGAAACATCTTAACCTGGTTCGGGAACAGCACCATGCAGGACAGACGAGCTCTACAGAGGGTTGTGCGGTCAGCTGAGCGCACCATCCGCTCCGAGCTCCCTGACCTGCACTCAATCTACAGCAGGCGGTGCTGGACCAAGGCCAGGAAGATGGTGAAGGACCTCAGCCATCCCAACAACAGACTGTTCTCTCTGCTGAGGTCAGGAAAGCGATTCCGCTCCCTGAAGACCAACACAGAGAGACTGAGGAGGAGCTTCTTCCCGCAGGCGATACGGTCTCTCAATCACACCACCACACAGTACTGACCCACACATATAGTTCTTACACACACACTGGACATTGTTTCACTTCATTACTTAAATCACGCTGCTGTTATTGTGTATATATTTATTTAGATTTCTTCATACATTCTTATATAGTTCTATATTGTGTATTTTGTTGTACAGTTATTTTATTTTCAACTTTAATTTATATATTTTATCTTATTCTCCCAGTTAAATTTACCCTTCATTCTAATTTGTGTTGTACAGTTATTTCATTTTTAACCTTAATTTATATTTTATTCCTTCCTAGTTAAATTTGCCCTTTTTAATTTCTCATATTTATTTCCTATCTTATTCATAGTCTTTTCCTTTTTTGTTTTCTTTAGGTCACGAGCAGTTGTCCAAGCATTTCACTACATATCGTACTGTGTATGACTGTGTACGTGACAAATAAAATTTGAATTTTTTGCATTTTGCCCAAAAAGTTCCATTTTGGTCTCATCTGACCAGAGCAGCTTCTTCCACATGTTTGCTGTGTCCCCCACATGGCTTGTGGCAAACTGCAAACGGGACTTCTTATGGTTTTCTGTTAACAATGGCTTTCTTCTTGCCACTCTTCCATAAAGGCCAACTTTGTGCAGTGCACGACTTATAGTTGTCCTGTGGACAGATTCCCCACCTGAGCTGTAGATCTCTGCAGCTCGTCCAGAGTCGCCATGGGCCTCTTGGCTACATTTATGATCCTGAACGCTTTAGGTAGACGGCCTTGTCTAAATCCAATCGAGAATCTGTGGCAAGATCTGAAAACTGCTGTTCACAAACGCTGTTCACGTGTGCACCACTTTGTGTTGGTCTTTCACGTGGAATTCCAATAAAATTGATTCATGTTTGTGGCTGTAATGTGACAAAATGTGGGAAAGTTCAAGGGGGCCCAATACTTTTGCAACCCACTGTAGGTTTATTTATTTGGACACTAAACGTTACGGTTACTCTCTTGGTGAGCAATGGTGAGGACAAACATGGCGTTTAAATTATGAGTTTCTTTGAAAGAAATGGGGCATTTTTGTTGTTGTTTGAATCTTGCCTGTAAATTAGCATGACATGGGACCTTTTAACTTTTATTGAAAAGTTAAAAGGTGTAGTAACTGATGAACGTCTCCAGTAGAGGGCACTATTGGGCTTCTTTTCCTGGAGCAACTCTCCTGTTATTAGTTTCATTATTACAGCGTCCAATCAGTCAGGGGCAGAGGATGACTACTTTGATGAATAGTTTTGTTTTACACTGCAGAAAAGCTGTGATCAAGAGAAACTACTGAATAAATGAGCAGATACCTCCACCTTTTTTTCCTGAGCTTACCAAACAAAATCCAAATTTTATTAATTTCATTATTTTAAAATTTTGACATTTGTCTTTAACCCTCATGCTCGGGTCCTCTACCAGAGGCTGGGAGCTCGAGGTTCCTGTGCAGTATCTTTGCTGTTCCCAGGACTGTGCTCTTCTTAGACATCTGTCCTGAGCTGTGCTGGAGCCAGTCACCCAGTCAGCATTTCATTTATATTTATATACATACAAGCTTGTTGCTTCATAATGAGAACAGAAGTTAAGAAAGCACATTGCTTACTTTCTTTTTAGACGGCCGATGAGAAGGAGAGCCCACTTTATGTTCTGTAGCTTCTATGATGAAAAAAATATTGTCTATTCGTGGAGCACAAACGGTAGAGGACCGCAGGAGAACAGTCCACTGGCTGAGGTCCTCACATACCTGGAAAAGTACAGACAGAACAGACGACAAGTTCAAACACTACAAAGTGTTACACATAAAGTAGTTAGTAACAATAGTCGCATGTTTTCTCGGTGTCCCATTATCAAGTATGGTATCAGCGTGGTGTACAATGTGACCGATATGAAAGTGTTGGGCTAAGATGTTATTTCGTTGTGGGAGTGGCCTCAGCATGACCAGCTGTTAAAGCTCCGATGCAAAGACGAGTCCCTCATACTGTAACAGCTGACCTGATCCTCTGTATTCACTCTTCCCATGCTTGTGCAAGACACGAGTGGTAGTTACAATCACCTCGCTCTGTTTTCATACAAGGGTGCATTCTGATCCTAACACTGCTCAGCATTTCACCATGCTCCATTTACTTATTCTGCTACATTACTCAGGCTCGCAGGCCAGACCTGAGGTGCTCGACTGTGGATCACACCAGCAATGCACTATGCAGCAACGTCTGTGCAACATCCTACCTAATGATCCAGGGATCTGTCTGATAATGGAACCAGTGGCCTGGAGAGTGGGAACTCATGAAAGGGCCCAGAGGGTACTATTAGTGGGTTCATCAACAAAGCTGAGGCAGACTGACCTTTACTAATACACAGTGACTTACAAAAGTATTGGGCCCCCTTGAACTTTCCCACATTTTGTCACATTACAGCCACAAACATGAATCAGTTTTATTGTAATTCCACGTGAAGACCAACACAAAGTGGTGCACACGTGAGAAGTGGAACGGAAATCATACATGATTCCAAACATTTTTTACAAATAAATAACTGCAAAGCGCCGTCCAGCCCCACGCACAGGGCGATCTGCGGTAGCTCGTTAACTGAGATTCGCCGCGTTATGGCGTTAACGTCATTTCAGATTTACGCTGACAGCACTAGTGGGAACACAACGAATATGACTGCACATTTACTCCGACATCATCCTAGTGCAAAGACAAGTGGAAGCAGACAAAAACAACAAGCATGCATGCTACAAACTTTACCAGAGTCATTTAGACAGCCGTTAGCACAGGATTCTCCTTATGGGGACCTGATATGTTTAATATGCTGCTGAGAATATAGCCCAGAAGAAGCGGATAGTATAGCTTTTATTTTGGAAAGAGCCATTTCTCTGTAATAAACTCTCTTTTCCAAAGATGAGTGATTTCTCCATCAGATAGATCCTGTAATTTGAGACAGATGTAAAAAAAATATACGAGTACTGGCTAAATATGAGGAAAAATGCAGCACTCCTACAAAGTCTCATATTCCAGCACACATTCACAAAAAGACAAACATTCAAACTGCAAATGATACGGAGTGAATTAGTTTAATGTTGTTTATGCATGTTGAACACTTCTAACATTAAATTTTAGGTCATGATGATTTGAAGAGCTGAAACCGGAGTGACACAAGTGTTCAAAATAATTAGTTTCTGATTTATAATTAGATTGTTAGCTTTTTTATCTAAAGCCAGCATGCAGGCTTAAGGAAAACAGCAAACACCAAATGAGCTACGTCTCAGTCTACAAATGTTACCGCCCACAAACAAAGAAAACTACTGAACCAGTCTTGCTGTCAGAATAAACTGGAATATAGCCAAGCCAACTCCCGTGAATGATTCGCTTACTGCACTTTTCCAGCTGACAGCTGGTGTGTCTGATGTACTGGCCACCTGGTCTCAGTCAGCAGTGCCCTGCACTCTCAGTGTGAGCTGACAGAAAGGTGACTGTGGGTAGCACCCAGTAAACATTGCTTTGAACTTCAGGCAGCGGTACACCACATCTGCATGCTGCCATGTGACTGGCGGATTGGAGATTTGTGTGACTGGAGCACAGGCTCTTTAACAGCTGTACCTATTAAAGTGCCTGTGACTGTATGCCGTATGTATTTGAAAATGTGTCTCGATTTCAGTGTTCTTGAACTTGTTTGTGGTTTTCTGTAATGTGTTTGCCTTTATTCTGACAGATGCTGCTGTTACCCAGTCACACAGCTGCATAACTGCCTGTAAAGTCTGTCATTCTGGCACTACCCTGGAAGTTCAAATCCTAGCAACCAAGCCAATGAAAAAGTATGATGTAGCACTACACCAGGGTCTGGCCATAGACTCAGAGCAGCATAAGCACATTGTATAGAGCACAGCTCACAGACACCAGTGAGACACTACAGTGGGACACCAGTGAGACACTACAGTGGGACACCAGTGAGACACTACAGTGGGACACCAGTGAGACACTACAGTG